ATATATATATATATATATATATATATATATATATATATATATATATATCTTGTATTTTGTCCTATCCCGAATTCAACGGTAGTAGACCAAAGTCGTCCTAGTAATTATCTCGATTAATCCCTTCCAGTGACGTTACAAATTGGCGTGAAAAATTTCGCTTGAATACCAACTGTGGACACCATTTTTCTCTCCCGGTAACAATTTTCCTAATGCACCCCCTGCGAGATTAATAGAAAACGGAAAATGGCTCGGCAAGCAGTGTCGACTAGAGGTTCTTTCTTTATTATTTCTTCGCCTTCTTCGTCTTCTTCTTCTTCTTCTTCTTCATTTTTCTTCTTCCCTTTTTTTTTGGGGGGGAGGGGTAGGATAGAGGAAGTTGGGGAGAAGGGAAAACATATATCACGTCGATGATCACGATATTTTTTGGATTAGTTTCGTTAATACTAGAATAATGGGATTCGGTGTGGGCAAAATGGCGGAAAATATATCGTGGTTTGTTATGGATGTTTTTTTTTTCTTTTTGTTTGTTTCTTTCTTTCCTTCTTTAAGGGATTTTACTGAAAATAAATAAGAGAAAATATGGAACTAAATAAAGGGAGGGACATTTGTGAATTAGATGATTAGATAGTTGAATATGAATACTATAAAAGAAATATGTATTAAGAATGATAACGTTGGTCAAAATAGGAAAGGTATTAAGAGATGAGAAACGAAATCAGCCAGTCGTAGTTTAATTAGATATAGAAAATATACATATATATCCCCTCCACATAAAAGATACAAAACCTGTTATCAACTACTTCCCTCCCTTCCTCCCTTCCCCCCTTCCCACTCCCTTCTCCTACCCCTCCTCCAATCTGTTCTCCCTTTCCTTCCTCCCCTTTCCCCACAAACCCCTCCCTCTATTTATTCCCCTGCCCCCATCCCCCCTCCTCCCCGCCATCCCCATCTCCCTCTCCACGTTCCTCCTCCTCCCTAATTCTCTCCTTCTGTTAACTCCTCCCTCAAACTCTTCCCCCTCTACCTCCCTCCCTCCCTTCCTCCCTCCCTCCCTCCCTCACTCCTAGCCAAAGGCCCTTCTCTCCTTCCCCCCTTCCCTCCCTCCTCTCTCCCTCCCTTCCTCCTTCCTTCCCTCCCTCCCACGCCAAAGTCCCTCCCCCTCTTCTCCCGCCCTCTCTCCCTCCCTACCTCCCTCCCTTCCTCCTTCCTTACGCCTCTACCTCCCTCCTTCCCCTCTTCCCCTCTCCCCCTCTTCCTCCCTCCTCCTCCCTCTCCCCCAAAGTCCCTTCCTTAAGAGCCTATCCAAGAAATGCAGTCGGGAAAGAAACTCGACAAGATGATTCTTTTGGGCGAGACAGTGAGTGAGTATGGCTGCGTTTCGAGACCCTCCCCCTCCAAAAACTTATCACTCTCCTTCCTCTTCTTCTTCCCACCCACCCTCTTCCTCCTCTTTCTTTTTTTTTCTCTCCCCCTTCTCCCCTTCCTCCTCCCTCCCTCCTCCTCCTCCCCCATGAGAAATAGTCTTGTTGACATGCTTAATCTCGGTTTAATCAATTACTCGATTAGTTCCTCTTGTAAACCTGGAGCTTTTTACTTATTAGGGCGCGAGATGGCGTTGTGGTTCGCTCGAGGGCCGCTCGATTTGTCTCTCGCGTTCAGCGGGATTTCGCGAGATTTCGTTTTCTGTTTCGTTTCTCTCTTTTGTCTCCCTTTTTTTTGTCTCTCTCTCTTGTCTTTTATTGGCAGTTTTTTTTTTTCTTCTCGTGTTTTTATTTCCTTTTTTAAACTCTCCTTTCCTTTTTTGTTTTTCTTTTTCTTTCTTTTCTCTTCTCTCTCTCCTTTCCTCTTTTGTTCTCTTTTTCTTTCTTTTCTCATCTCTCTACTTTCCTCTTTTGTTTTCTTTTTCTTTCTTTTCTCTTTTCTCTCCTTTTTTATTTCTTATCTAAGTCTGGAAAGGAGAAAAAGTTTCTAATACTCTCTCTCTCTCTCTCTTCTTCTTCTTCTTCTCCTTCTCCTTCTTCTCCTCCTCCTACTTCTTCTTCCTCTTCTCCTTCTTCTTCTTCTTCTTCTATCTCCCTCGTTCTCTCTCGTTCTCTCTCCCCCCCCTCTCTCTCTTTCTCTCTTTCTGTCTCTCTCTCTGTCTCTCTCTCTCTCTCTCTCTTTCTCTCCCTCTCTCTCTCTCTCTCTCTTCCCCATCCCTTCCTCTCCTCCCTCTCTCTCTCACCCACCATCCCTCCATCTCTCTCTCTCTCTCTTCCTCCGAGGAGCAACTCTGCCGCGCGGAAGTTTGAGATACAGTTCCGAAGTCCCAAGAAATCGAGGCAAAGTTCCGCCGTTCCCCTGGCGAAGTGACCTAGAGAGAGAGAGGAGAACTTCTCTAGAAAACTTTGTGAGGCAAGGAGGTGGTTTTGAAGCTGAGTGGTTGAGCGAAATGAAGTGACTCGAGGCAAAGCGAAGTGGCGAGGGTAGTCGTGTTTCCGTCTCCTCTTCCTTTTCCATC